CACGCGTTTGATGCGCGTCTAGAGAGAGAGAGAAAGGGAGGGAGGGAGGGAGGGAGATGTGGCGGTCGGTGCAATCACCTGATTCTCTTCCACGTTGCGCAAAGATGTCTGCCGAATCGTTAGATCTCTGCACCTTGCAGCGGTGAAGAGAAGCAAGAGCAAGAGGAGGAACAGGTGCAGAAGAATGCAAAGAGGGAGGGCAGCAGAACTTGCGCACCTCGAGAGCAGAAAGAGCAGCTTTGTTCTGGATCTGACCGAGCACAAACGCGATCTCATGGCGGAGGACAGCGCTATATGAGAACATCATTCACTTCATGAGAGTTTCTCCCGCACCTTGACTTGTCCTCCAGGAGGACCTTGGCCAGCCCAAGCGCAGCTTCTTCCGTTCCTCTATCGCGAAGAGCGAAAAGGAAACCATACCTGCCACCGTAAGATGAGATGCAGGAAAGAGTTCATGGGTTGTAAGAAGCAACCTCTCAAACAAGGGAAGGCTGGAGTCCATAAGCTTGTCAACAAGCTCCGCCGTCGTCAAAGAGGCATCAGCTGAAAGTTTGACACCTCAGTATCAGACTCTGAAGCAAGCTTCACGACATTGACACACCTGGCGGAGCTGGATCGATCGACGCAAACTTCTTCTGCTGGAGAGATTCGTTTGCCTGATAGCACAACAAACCTTTGAGATAACGAGGTGAAACACACACATTACCTTGCTCGTGTCTCCCCCATGCTTCTTGTTTGCCCATCGGATTCTATCGAGAGCCAACTGGCAGGTGTGTCGGACCTCCTGCCGTGACATGTTCACAATCTGCTGGGCGTGCAGGCAATAACAAAGTCACCTCAACATCGCAAGACTCGAACTCTTCCAAGACTTTGAGAGCTTCAGGAACCTGTTGGGAGTCAGTCGGACGATCTCTTCCTGCGCACGCCCTTGCTCTCACTCCAATCGCTCCTAGCGCTTCAGCAGCTTCATGTCGAACCTATCAGGGGCAGATGTTAAGTCTACTTTGATACGCAACCGTTCAAGCACCATAGAGTCCTGATCATTCTTCAACAGTGCAGTCAAGACTGGAACGGCAGAAATCTGTATGCAGCATGTCAACACATTGCTGAACAGCCGACTGTTCTCTCCAACCTCTTCTTTCTGTCCAAGAGCATACGCTACTTCGTGCCTGCACATCATGACGTCATACTTGCAGTACGTCGGCTCCTGACTCACCTGAGAAGAGCCGACTCGTCGGTCAGGCATGCTGCGAGCGCATCCACGGTGTCCTGCGGCATGTTGAGCTTCCAGGAAGGCGATGGCTCATCATCTTACTGTTCCTGGCACACCTCTCAGAGAGCAAACCACTCTCATTCTCTTGGCCAACGGCTGAGTTCGGTCAAGAAGCCGCTCCTAACGAGACCGTCAGGTCCAGACACGGCAAGAGCAGTCAATGCCACCTTGAGAGCCTTGATCTTGTCGGCCGTTGACACATCCTCTTTGTATGCACTGGTGAGCGTCATAGTGCTGCAGGACCACAGTTTGTCAACGACAAGTCAAATCTCAGCCCATAAACACTTTCATTTCGCCTAGCAGTCTTCCGTCTACCTTTCAGTGACTTCTTTGGAGTACTAAAATAAGTTCTTCCACCTCGGTCTGGCTAGAATGCCATCAATACTCCACTTCCTTCCAGCTTCTCCACCCCATGTGCCACCCTGCCCCTTTGGCTTCATTTCCAACTAAACTCTTACTCACATCCACCATCACCTTAACTCAATCTCCCTACCTAGTCCCCTCGCCTCCTCGCCTCCTTGGATTTCATCATTTCATCTACCCTTGTCATTCTACTCTTTTCCATCTTCGACCCTCCCGTTTATCCCTGTGATCCTCTCTTCTCTCCCCTCCCCTCCCTTCTCTCCCCTCGCTTCGCCTTATCTGTATCCTCTGTTCCAACTGTCCTCTCTCACCACTCTCTTTCCTCGTCCTCATCTCACTCTCCCTCTCCCTCCCCTCCTGCTCTCCCTCTCCCTCTCCTCCTGCTCTCCCTCTCCCTCCCCTCCTGCTCTCCCTCTCCTCCTGCTCTCCCTCTCCCTCTCCTCCTGCTCTCCCTCTCCCTCTCCTCCTGCTCTCCCCGACTCCTTGCATGTCGGCTTCACGTGTCTTTCGCAGGGGTTGCCCTCATCCCCACCAGCCCACTATTTGGTGAGCCCGCCTCCAGACATCTTAAGGGGGCGTATCGGTCGAGGGGGGAGGGGGTAGTTGCACTGGGGACAACTTACCATGGGGTGGGTATATTTCGAAAGGGGATCACGGGGTAGGGGTGATAGGTTGGTGATACGTAGGGGGTGGTAGCTACGAAAGGAATAGACCATGCGGCAAACGAACGGAGGAAAGGCGATGCGGCGCATCCTGGAGGAGGGAAAGCCGGTGAGAGGAGGAAGAGGAAGAGGAGGAGGAGAAGATGAAGGAGAGAAAGGAGAGGAAGGAGAGGAAGGAGAGGAAGGAGGGGGATCATACGTAGGGCGATGATGATGATGGAGGGTCGATCACGGAGGGAGGTAGAGATGGACTGAGTGGTAGAGGGCAACGAAGGGACGAGGTCTGAGGAGGGAGGATGGAGGACGAGGACAATTTTTCAGATATTGAGGGGAAAAGATGCAAGCTTTGCTTTGAGCGGATTCTCACAACTACCTGACACGACCTCACCTTCGGGAGGAGAAATGACCGTACTGATAGATCGTCGTGGACGGGGCGATGGGGACTTCTCTATACGAACATGTAACGCAATGAGACACAAGCTCTTTCTCTCCAAGTTGAAAATTTATTTCGACAGGGCATTCTCCACACCAAGGCATTCGAAGAATGCAACGTCACAGCAGCAAACAAGGTACTTTTCCCTATGAAGGGAGTGCGTAGAAAGAGCCTTCCTGCGGCATACGCATGTTCAGCTGACGGCCATCTCAAGGTGAAGGCCGTCCATCTTTCGTTCATCGAGGCAGGTGCAAATATCATCGAGACAAACACCTTCGGCGCCAACAAGTTAGACGATGTTCGCTGCTGCTGCGTGTTGACGTGACAACAGGTTTGCGCTGGCAAGATACGGACTGACCAATGTAGTTGAGATCAACCAGGCTGGAGTGAAGATAGCTCAGGTAATTTGCTTTCAGTAAGTATTATGTTGTTGATGCAACCATGAAGGAGGCAGTTGCTGAGAGTGGCAAGGGAACCATCATTGCAGGCGCCGTAAGTAGAGCAGAGGAGAACATGTTTGGGGAAATGTTTGTATCTTATGACCTTCACAACAGGTTGGACCCACTGGTGAGGGTACAGGTACAAACGATCATGATACGATTCTTATTCGGCTCATGAGAGATGTATAGGATTCATCGACGACGACAAGGCCAAGGAGATTGCTTTGGCATACGAAGTTCAGATTAAGGCCATGGTTGACGTGAGTGAAAGACATGACCATGAAGTGCTTTCTATTGACGTAGAGATGACTTTCTTTGCTAGGCCGGTGTTGATGCGATCATGTTGGAGACTTTCACGTACCTTGCAGAGATCAGGATTGCTTTGAGTGTAAGGGAATTGCTGGATGGTTGACAAGGTGACGGAATGGTAACAGAAAGTGAAAGAGCTCTTTGCCGGGCCTGTCATTGCTTCCATGGCATTCAGCGATGAGCCGGCGGCTACCAACCACTACGGGCCCGGTATCGTCCTTGCACTTTCACAACCTCCTGTCTCCTCCTCCTCCTCCTCCTCCCTCCCCCCCTTCCCCTTCCCATTCCCTCCTTCCCCTGCCTCCCCTGCCTCCCCTCCTTCCCCTCCTTCCCCACCTCCTAGCGCCATCCGCATCTCTGGTTTCAAATTCGACTTACTCTCGAGGGAAGGGAAAGTCGCGCAGCTGCTGCACAAGTGGGGAGCAGACGTGGTGGGCGTGAACTGCGGGGGGGATGGGGAAGGGTCGGGGAGGGAGGACCAGCAGCCATCTATGACGTTGCGGAGGAGATGGTCAAGGCAGTGGGAAGCAGCGTTCCTGTGCGTGTCTGGTGTGAAGGAGGAGGAACGGTTCTGATTGATCCTCTGGGAAGGTTTTGGCCTGTCCTAATGCTGGACATCCCAAGAGAGTCGGCCATCGGAACATCTACATGGCTACCGAGGTAGGGCGATGGCAGGTAGGGGTGCCAAGTGACCAGACTGTCAGGAGTACTTTCTCGTCTATGCCAAAAGACTGTTCAAGAGTGGAGTCAGGTGGGAGGAGGAGGAGGAAACGGAGGGAGATAGAGATAGGGGAGCGAGGAGAGGATGAGGGAGGGGAGGAGGGAGAGAGTTGACGCTGCTGGGCCGTTGACGCGCCGGCTCAGATTGGTGGGAGGCTGCTGTGGGACCCGACCTCCGCACATCGCATCCGTCGCATCAGCAGCGAGGTTGGCTTATGTTGAGTGAGAGAGAGGAGGAGAGGAGGAAGGGAGTAAGGGAGGAGAAGATGAAAGAGCATCGGGGGAATGTATGAGAGGGGGAAATAGGAACAGAAAGGCAAGGAAGGGGTATTGAAGAGGAGGGAAAGCGGGTGATATTGACTTGGTTCCCTCAGGATGTTTGGAGGAGGGTCGGACGTTGTCAGTTCATTCTTCCTCACTCCACCCCGTTCAGTTCACACACCCTCTGCAGGTTCCTTCACCTCCTGCCTCCACCCAGACCACCAAGAATGAGAAGAACAGCAAGCCAGCTGCTGTTGCAAAGGAGCCCATCCCCGTCAGCGAACGAACGAGTGAGCAGGGATGGGAGAGAGGAGGACGAGGACGAGTAGGAGGAGCAGGAGCTGGGGGAGGAGCAGAGAGAGTAGGACACGGGAGGGAGGAGGGAACGAGGTGATAGCAGAGCCATCCTCTGACAATTGGGCAGAGCTCTCGTCCAAGATTGCAAGGATTTGGAAGGATCGACTTGCTTCAGGGAAGGAGAAAAAGGTATTGCCTGTTGAGAGGAGGAGGAGGAGGAGGAGGAGGAGGAGCAGTAGCAGTAGACAAGAAATGTTTGAGGTTCTTCATGCTAGGATCCCATCGGACCTGAAGATTTCGTCGTGAGTGTGGAAGTGAATCCTGCACCCGGCCTGTCGACAGAGAAGGTGAGAGTGTTGACACTACATGGCATGAACGAGTAAGACTTCAGGCGAGGAGACTCAGGGAAAGGGGACAGGGAGGGAGGAAGTGGAGAGGAGATGTAGGAAAGAGGATCTGAGAAGGGGGTACAAGAAAACAGATCGCGGGATTTTAGAGAGGTCGATCCCTGAGCAGCCGTTGAGATTCCATTATGGGCTCTGACTGTGGATGCATCAGCCCATTGCCGCCGCCAGGATGCTGAGAGACGCAGGGGTGGATGTGAGATGAGGGAGCATGTCATACTGCTGTCTTCGACTGACGCCTCATCCCCTCCCCTCCCCCTCCTTTCTCTTCCTCCTCCTTTCTCTTCCCCTGCTTCTCCCACCTTGACTCCTCTCCCCTCCAACCTGCTTCCCTTCATAACTCCTCCCCTCCTCTGCTCCTCCTCCCTCTCTTTAACCCCCCACCACCTCCTCTCCCCTCCAACCTGCTTCCCTCCATAACTCCTCCCCTCCTCTGCTCCTCCTCCCTCTCTTCAACCCCCCACCTCCTCCTCTCCCCTCGCTCTCTCCCCCTTTTCTCCTCGCTCCCCCACCCCAGGTCCTCAACATTGCCGACGGTCCTCGTGCCACCGTCCGCATGTCCAACTCAGCTCTAGCTGAAGACATGCAGCGCAAACTCAGCACGGAGACCATCCTACACGTCTGCTGCCGAGACCGCAACCTGCTCGGGCTCATGTCTCCTCTTCTCCTCCAGCTACAGCCCAGCTGACTCTCTTCCCCGTCAGGTCTGACCTGTTGGGCAACTACACGCGCGAACTTCACAACCTCGTCATCATCACTGGCGACCCCCCGAAGATGGGAGACTATCCGAAAGCGACTGCAGTGTTTGATGTCGACTCCATCGG